CATACCGCAGTATTATGAACCTATGATTGCCTACGCCAAACCAATTATTATTATTACTACCGTTATTGAAATAACGTTACGGATGTAGTATACCGAATTTGCTAAGTGAGCGAGCGCACTCATCAAGGAGAAGACAAATAGATAACTGTAAGGGCATTCGGCGCTTTGATTCAGCAAGAGTTATTCTATAGCGCCAACCTTGATTCAAATTACCTGCAAGAAATATCGTTAATGGCCAGTATGGTGGTCAATAGGCCATGGGTGCTTGAGGGTAAAATGGCTCAGTGGAAAAACGAGTTACGTATTGATTTGTGTTTCATCAAATGCAAATACCGCAGCCCCTATTGTAAAGCACCTTCTTCCAAAGCTTCATTGTCTTCAATGAAGTATTGTTTACCTAGTTAAGGATTACTCATCGTCTAGTATATGTAGTTGGTGAAGGTCTAACCAGGAGCCCCCACGGGCTTTTTTCATTCAACGGCTTAGTTTGCAAGTTCCCAGGCCAACAATAAAGGCTCCTAACGATATTTCGGTATTGATCTCAAGGACAAGTAAGGCTGAATGTAATGCCGAAAAGAAATCCCATTAAACTGACTCTAATACATAATGTTTGCCTTAGTCAATAATAATATGGTGCAAATAGGGCGGTTCCTTTTGGATTAGTGGCGAAGAGGGCCGGTCAGTGGTTGTACAAATAACCGTCAATAAATGCTCATTATCCTTTTATCCCTACCACTTCAGCCAAAATCGGCATCGTTTTAATATTTACTACTGTATTATGCTACTCGAAAATAGTATAACAGCGTCCAATTAGAAATAAAAACCCATACTGGAAAGTTCACTTGATTAGCTGGAAATTAATATGGAAAACCCATCAAAGTAATAATTAGTAATTGGACTGTGTGCCTCTCATTTGAACCCCTCCGCAAGTAAGTCATAAAAGACAGCAACGAAGTCCAAGCCAGCTTAAAGCCTTCACCATATAATTCTAGAGGGGGCTTTAACGCTAAAATAGGCGTTTAGGCGAGCGGTGGTGTCTAAACCCATAGAACGTTAACTCCCTTGCGCGCGACTGAGCTGAAACTGGTGGGATGTACATTTCAGCCAAAAATATATCCATATACGTTAAGTAATATTCAGAAGAAACATCAGCACAGAGGGGCAGCTTTAATAGCGATCTCTATTATTATAGTGAAATTCAATAATCTTAAGCAAATAATAGAAAAAGCTATGAGTCTACTTGACGTCAAAGTACATTCTAATAACATAGATTATGGCCTCGGTAAAAGGCCACGTCACATTTTGAAGATCAATAAGATCGAATATGGCCTATACAAGAGAGTTAATATAACGTAATGTTACACTGACTTCTTCCGTATTTAAGTTGAAAATAAGTCAATTTTTAGTCGTACTCGTTTTAATACGTGCGATTAAAATTGATCTCATTTTTATTATATTTACGCGAGATAAACACCTTTGATGAGGTTTCTCGGTCTGTCACTAATTTGAAAATATGTTACTGAAGTTGTTGGCAATCAGGAAATCATTAAACTTTTTCTTCAACTAATCTTTTGACTCGTATCGGAGTCATGTTTGCAGGTACAAAGATAAGGCGGTACTTCAGACGGCGAGCTGGCCATGACTTAGCGTGGATGCACAATCGATTATTGCTACTATTACTACCATGGTTTAACAACCATCATCCGGCTGATATCATCAATGGCTGACTATGATTGAAGCCATGTCGGCAAAGTTGACTCATGGTAATAACCAAATTTTGAACCGGTCACGTAAATTGTTACGAACGCGAATGAAAGCTAACATCAGGCTGATAGCACCAAAAAGTACAACACCGTCTTTCATAGGAACCTGTTGATATAACGTATCAACTGTATTTTACTAATTACAGATTATTATTCTAGTGTCTTGCATCTCTGCAAGGCCTTTACTAGTTTATCAGCATTCTTTTCACCAGTGCCCACCATTCACACTCTATAACACAGTGCTATAGGTCTTGCGACGTTGGTCAACAATCGTCTAAAACTACTCTGAACCATGTTATATATTTATATAACATGGTTCAAAGTATTTTTTAACATGTAAATAACAAGAGTATGAGCCCTTAGGCTCTCTTGTTGTTTGCATGAGACTCCGTCGTTGCACAAACGAGTAATCTCATAAAAGTCGGAAGTCACAGGGAAGTTGGACACCTCGGTAGGGCAATTCATATTATATGTATTTCATATTCATTTGTAATTAACAATTCTTTGGTAGCTATACGACCAAAAAATAATATGTAATGTAACATTATCATCTATAAAAAAAAAAAACTGACATATTTGGAACAGCGTGGCTACCATTTTTAAATGCGCGAATGTCTGAAGCAGCGAAAGGCTGAGAAGTTAGTCGTCTCCAGCTTTCCAACGTTGCTTCGCTATAAAAGATTACCATGTTATTAGTAAATGGTACTCAAAATGCCATTGTGTTCAAATATGTATGAATAATGTTCAAATAAAGTAATGGTCGATTGTGCTTACAACACTGCTGTAGACGATTAAGATCATCGAACCCAAGATTAGACCGGTCAAAGTGTTTAGTTTAGTGTTTAGTTGCTTAACATCAATTGCTACGGGACATAAGTTAACGGAAAATATACATATAGTAATTTTATAGCTAGAAACCAAACGATAACTTAACAACGTCAGCAATAGCAATTTCGGCGGCCGGAATAAGATGCCGCTTTCCATATAATACTGTCAAACAACGTCGCAGTGAAGTTTTTCATCCTGTCTAAGCTCGTTAAGAACTCGAATATAAGTGCCATGTTCGTGACGTGATTTAGTTACGGAAAATACTGCCTTGACCAAATCAATCCTGAACTCACTCAGGCGGGAAAAGCAGATGTCATCTTTCAGCGTTATATTATAGGATGTACATATCCTGGACAAAGAAACCTCTGAACATTGCCAGAATAACATTTTAACACAGAATAACATTGCCACTGTTGTGATCCGTGTAATCTATTATGTGCACTGGAATTTTCGACAAAAAGATGATCAAGTACGTAAGTATCGTTGGATATTTTGCAGCATCGAGAAGCACACACGTATTCACTTCTAAAGGATGAATTTTATTGAATTCTAATTGACTAAACGTTTTAAGTTCCTTGACCATTAATGCCTTTAAGCAAAGTTTAAAAGCCGCTGGCAGAATGAAGCAAACAGTGGTCTCGAATCTAGCTTACCTCATAGGCTTCAGTAGACAAATATGTTAGGGTTTTTTTTTTTGGAAAGCTAGCGATTAATGTATCATCCAAATCAAACTTTATTGCTAATGTATTCGTTTAATAGCATGGGATTCCCACCCACTGAACCATAAATCTTGCGTCCTTGAGCGTTGGTTTGAAAGTGCTTTCTTAGTAGATGTAAATGACCACTGAACTCTGGCTCGTGGGGATTATGGAAAACCTAGCCAACTTTCTTAATAGGTAATATATTTTAGAAACCTAGCTAATTTATTGAATTGCGCTTTCCATTTTGTATATAATTTAAGGGTTTTTTGTTTTTCGTTCTTGTTTATACAGTAGTAGCGTAAAAAATGAATTCTTCAGACTCCTTTACAGTGAAAGAGCAAACAACAAAGGAAAATAAAGGATACTTGATGGTATCAATATTTTTAAAAGTACTTGTATCTGTAGGGATAATGCTTGAAGAGCACATAATTGCACAATAGTAAGTAGGTAATAGGTAAAATTGATGTGGTGCCGTTTTCCTGCTAAGTTTGAGGGATACGTAAAGTGGCGTGGGTCCGAAATTCGGTTCGTGCTGGTGAGAGCAAGTGGTTTAAGGGAATGCTAACGGTTCAAGTACTGGGCTTTTAGGTAGGAGATAAAATTAGTCTAAGACTACCTAAAACAATTAGACATGCATACACTTTAACGTAAATATGACCATAATAAAGCCATGTGTACTGTCATCGCATTATAGCAAGTACTATCATCCCTTTTTTAAAGAAATCAAGACAAGCACATTTATGCATTATCTAGGGCACCTGGAGCTTTTCCCATAGTAAGTGAAGTAGCAGGGCAAGGCTGAGGCTCGTTCTCCGTATATAAAAAGAATTTTCATTAAGGCTATATCCTCTAAGTTGGCTACCCGCAGTGGCATTTGCATCCCTATGGGCATTTAAACCTTCCGCTTGACAATTATTAAACGAAGATTCACCTTTCTTTTATCTTGATTTTCAGTAATTTATCTTTGCATATCCTTTCTGTTTGTCTTGAAGTGCAGTCTTAAAAACAATATTTGGCAAGTTATCGAAATATTATGGTTTGTGTAACGGGTGTGACTTAGTGAAACATGTGATAAGGGCCAAGTAAAGGAAAGGTGCAAAAAAGAAATTAAGTAGTGTGATAGAATAAAACAAACGAAATATTGTAGTTTATGTTGTAGACTATAGGATAGTAATCTCATGTAAATCTTGGTTGGAGTGATATAATAACTGAGAAATGTCACACAGGGTAGGCAGATGAGTCGTAATGAAGGCGCTTATAGCGGATCAACGTTGTTGTTGTAATCCGTTTTCTTTTACTGGAATAACTTACTGTTTTTGTTAGCTGTACGCTTCTTGGAAGTACAAGGCGTGCCTAATGAAAAAGAAGCTCATACCAATAAAATGTATGACAATTTGTTTTTATATTTAAAGGACTTACAAAAACAACAAGCTTGTGTTGTCAAGACATTGAAGGGTTACTTATCCTAAGAGTGATAGAGAACTTTTAATACCACAAATAGACTTCTGGGTCGATTCTGCTCGAACGCATACCTTGCTCCGATGGCCTTTCGATCAAAAGGTTTATTCTCAATTGAATAGCGCATAACGTATTTTTTCAAAAAAAAGCTGTGCATAGGGGTAATCTTAATTGGGAGCAACATCTCACAATGTTATTACTATTATACAGATCTTTATTGTTAACCATTTTCCTTGACCGTGTCAACTGTACCATGCCTATACAATCTTCGATCTCGCAAGCACTGCCATACTGGCAGTGCAGCAGTCTAGTTATAATGCAACGCATGTCCGATGACGCCACCGCTAGCACTATTTTTTCTGTCATGTCCTTCCATCCAGGTCTTAAGCCCTGTTAACTAGTTCACCATATACCTAGCGCAACCCTCCCTGTGGGCCGCCCGGTGTGACCATCCAGTAATCGTCAGCGCCATCGTTTGCGCCCCCCACTCTAGATTTTCTCTTTTTCTTATTGGGAGCCTTTTTCCGCCCCTCCGCATCCCGCTGCCATCGCACCCATCGGATAGTTTTAACAAGACGAAAAGAAAGGTGGTGGTGGCAGTGGCAGCGGCGGCAGCGGTAACGACGATGATAAGCCCATCTAACCCTCTAGCGTAGCCAACAGCCCAGCTTCCCACAGCGTTGACTATTGCTGTTGCTACTGTTATCGCTGCTCCATCTTCAATCAGCCGCAGCGCCCCCTCAGCGCGAACCTCACGGCACCACGCACCGCCGCTAACCACTGTGTATGGCCCTTGGGCTCGTTATCGTCGTACTGTCACATCGTCACACCTACCTTCATTTCGGATTGACACCAGCCAGCTGGCGAATCGCCCGTACTCCCTATCCACCCATAGACAAAATCATTTCGTCGCAGCCGTCGCCGCCAACTGTTGTGCCGCCATCTTGTTTTCTTTTTTAACAGTAGCGGAATAAGCGGTCGGAAGCGGGTAGCCGCCGTAGACTGTCATAGTACCACAAGTTCATTGATGATCGGATTTTGGTTCGCTCTATCTGCCACCGCTGATGCCGAAGTCCTTGTTGTGTTCTTTTAGTGGCAGCGGCGGTGGCGGCGCTGTGCTGACTGCTCACTGAGTAGCGCAGCTGCCATCGTGAGTGTGTAAGAGACAACTGCGTGTTTTCTCTTCTCCTTTTGTATTGCTTTCGGTACTATTCACGCTGAGCGCGATGGGTGGTGGCTCCAACTGGTGCTAGCAGTGGCTTCAGCGGCCACTGTCTTTGATGACGTTACTGTCTACTACTGTACTGCATGGCTATCCTAGCACAAATAAACCGGTAGTAGCAACAGCGGCAAGGCCCACTGCCAAAGCCGTCTATGGCCGAAGGCAACAGCAGCGGCAGCAAAAATAGTAAAGGATGCGATACTACCATTATTTGTGTACGTCGCCATAGCAGGAGCAGGCTGTAAACAGCACAGCACGAAAGTCTGTGAACGAAGGTTATAGCGGATATGGCCGCCATCAGCGACAGCAGAGCCACACCGTTAGCAGCGAAAACGGCGGCGGCGGCAGCGGCAGTAACCACAACAAATCAACAGAATCAGCATCACCAGTGGTAATATTACATTGTGTGTGTGTGCGTGTAGCTGCTGCTGCCAGAAGCTGGGCCAGGCATTGCCACCGCCCGCTGCTGCTGCCGCCGAGGCACCATTAGCGTCGACGGCTGAAGCAGCGGTCGTTTCCGTGATAGTAGTTTTTGCTGTTGGTTTTCGCCACCAGAATCACCAACAGTAGCAGCAGCAGGAGCTTAGAGAGCTAGCTAGATGCTGTTGCTACAGAGTTGGCAGGCTGGATGCTGCGGTGCTGTGCGTCGACTGCCACTAAACGACTGTATTCTTATATCGCTAGTGTCGCTACAAGTCCGATTTCGTACAACTGGTGCTGCCGCAGTAGCAGCACCATTTAGCCGCTCGTACTGTTGTGCAGTGAGCAATCTTCTACTGGCAGCAGACCAACCCAGCGACACCGAGTGTCTTCTGTGGCCCTGTTGTGATACACCCGTCGCGGCGACCCCTTGCTCTCCCCCTCGTTCCCCTGTTGAGGACAGCCGCAGAGCACTCGCGACGACGACGACGACGACGACGACGACACCGACACCGACTCCTCTGAAAAACAACAGCAACGAATCCACAGACGAACGACGAGAACAACAACGGCAACGACGACAAGGCAGGAAAATAAAGTTACCACCGTTTTTGTTATTTCTCCCGCACGTTCTTCTGCTACTACCGCATAAACCGACAAATAACGTCGGTGACTGTGACAACGTCGACTGAGGCAGCGCCCGCGGCCAATTCCTGTTGTTGTTGTTGTTGATGTTATTGTTGTTGTTGCTGCCGCCGCCAGTAGGAGCAGTGGTCCTGATAGTTAGTCAGTTAGTCAGTGGGGCTCACTGCTCGGCCTAACGGGGATGTTCATCCATCCGTCCGTTCCATCTTTACCAGTAACGTGAATATAGCGTCGTCGTCGTCGCTGTCGACGACAAGAACGGTGGCAGCAGCAGCACGGCCAACAATGGTGATGTGCTTTTCTTTGCGGTAGCCGTTGTTTCGAATCGTTGATAATCACATCCGTATACCGGAGCTGTATGCTCTGTTGTGTCGTTTCTGCTTTTAATATTACTGGTAGTAGCGACAACGGACTGTGCAGCGTAGAGGCCGATCGCATGGCTACGTTTTAAGGGTAACGACGGTGATCAGACGACTAGTTTGTAAGTGCAGAATCCGGGAATAACAAGGTGATCTTGCTGGTCAGACTGCCGGTTGTTCTGCCGAATCGTATTGCTTGGTTTGGTGATGCGGTGCCGTCCTGCTGCTACTGCTGCTGCTGCTGCTGCTGCTGCTGCTACTACTACTACTACTGCTGCTGCTGCTGCTGCTGCTGCTGCTGTTGGTGGTGGTGGTGGTGCTGCTGCTGGTGGTAATACCGTCTAGCTTTCTAGCGAGCTGTTTGCCTCGGCAGTCCACGTTCTCGAATAGTTGTCCACTGTTTGTTCAGCGAGGTTAACATGAACGACACTGACGAGCGTTGTCTGCTTGCGTAGAAAACGGAGGTGTTCGTAAAAGTATGGAATAACCAGTTTAGCACAGCCGCGGTGGTACTAGCGAGGACCGCCGCACTCGTTGCCTAATTAATGGTCAAGTGTGTTTTACTAGGGCGGGCTGTGTAGCAAGTGCAGCGGCGACCGCAGTTTCCATCGGAGCGGTGATCGCGTTCTTCAAACGCCGAGACGACGTTACGGTACGTTAACGTCCCATAGCCTCTAAGCAGGTTCAGCAATTCGATGCTGCTGGCCCCGTGTTAATAACCTGATTTGCCAAATCTAATTCGTGTCTTTGTGTGTGTGTGTGTGTAAATGTAAGTGTGTGAGAGCTGCTTTCAGAGCAAACCAGCTATTCGTCTAGCAGGCGGTTGCTTTCAGCAAGCACCATTGCGCAATTATAGCAGCAAGTGAAATAGCTATACAGCACGCTCAGCATTAGTATATGTCGTCGCTCTGGCAACATACAACAGAACCAAAGCTAAAGGTTTATGACAGCATCAGTGGCCTGGGCACTACCGGCCTGCTGTCGCTGTAGCGGTCCTTAGTTGCTGTGTTAATTTTACTCATCAACGACGTCGCTCGGTTACTGGCTGAATCCTGCAGCTCGTCGCCGCTTCATCATCAACCCATAATAAGCAGCCATTGAGCTTAACCGAGCGACGTCCGATAGGTCGATGGGTAGTTTACCTGGGTGCCCGGCTATCGTATAATTGCTAAGATGATGAGCTCATGAGTTGACACATTTGTGTCATTGATCGTCGTCGAGTTGATGCTATTGACGCTGAGTTACCGTCGGTTCAGTGGGTCGCTGTTCAGAGTGTGTATTGTATGCTTCACCGTGTACTGCCAAAGCGTCGGGTGAATCGTTTGCCTCGAGAAAGGTGATATTAGCCACCCGGTAACTTCAACGGCCCTTGCAGCCGGATTATCGTCAGCAGCAGGCGAAATCGTACGAATAACAAGATCCTCATCGCGCAGGACAAATAGCAGTCACAACAACAACAATCATAAGATAAGAAGAACGGCACCAATAGCAAACGGAAGCCATAGCAACAACTAACAACAGCAACAGCGCGTGTCATTGTATTGTTGGTATAATTTCGAATTCAAACCAAATAGAAACTACGCTTCGTCGCTGTAACGACCTTACTCGTATCGACTTTAACTAGTGAATGCTACTGCTATCATTGAATGCTGATCGAGTTGGCTGGGTGAAAGAATTTTGCCCGGCCGTGCTTTTCTAATCCATTCAGCTGCAACCAGCACGTATCGAATATAGAAAAACAGGCCAAAAATCAGCCATCCAAGCAAGCAACCAACCAATGGCAGGAACGTAGAACAGGCTCACATTATTATCCTCAGCTGTGAGAAGCAGTAGTTTCGAGTAGTCCGGTGAAGTGTTCGATATTTGTACGCGTGCGTGTGTGTGCTACCGATTCCCGGGGTTTTATCATGGTGATAATGATGACCACGTTTGTGATTTGTTGCTAACCAACGTCGAAGGTGAGAATCTCGGATAGCAACTAGATTCACGAGAGAAATCGGAGAAACCGATCAAAAATCGCTTGTTTTTCGACGTTGTTGAGTCAACAGCATCTCACTAACGATTCACAAGATCGTCTTGAGGTGTCTCTTAGTGTGTTCATGTGTGGTATATTTTGCCTCCGCTGTTAACTTCGTCCGTGTCTGTGAGCTTGGCCATGACTGCTGCGACAGCAGTCAATAACAGTGGATTGCAATTACTACAGAAACGACAACGACAGGATTCGCATTAGGAATTTGTTTCTGTCGTAGTTGTTGTTTTAGTAGTGACGATTTTCACCACGTGCATTGGATAATAATCGTGCGGTTTTTTGGCCCTTTCCGACGTCGTGTCAACTAAACAAGGCCTTGCAGTGGCTCTCGGATCAGAAAAGGTAAAAAGGTAGTCGTGGCCTTTTGTTCACTACTGACTATCCCAGTCAGGAGGATATCAAAGCCAGCCAAGGGAAAATCTCGACTTGTTTCTAGACAGCGGAAGGAGAGCAGGTTTCCGGGACACGGAGCCGATCCCGGCTTCGAAGGTTAGTAGAAATAAACAGAACAAAAATATATTTAGCTTGTTTGAAGTTTGATTCCATTATTGTTCCATGATCGGCCAGTTTACATCGTTGGCGAGTTGGAGTGGTTAACGAGAGAGATACGGCAAAGTGATACCGAAAATGTGCTATGTTGTACCTTGTTAATGACCCTGTGTGTGTTACTTATTCGGGCGTGTTTTGTAGGATGAGACAAGCCATTGATTGTTCACCGTTGTTTTTTACAGTTTTATTGCCTTTGTCTACATGGCCCTGGTCATGTGTATATTATATAGTGGAAGGTATCCCTCCCTCCGGTGTTATTCTTATCTTTGAGTGTTCGCTCTTTTTTGTTTCAACTAAAACTAACAAGCAGCAAATCAGCAGCTGAACAAAGCCGACGTCACTGCTGTGGTCGGCTGTTACAAAATGTTACTTGCCCTCGGAATAATAGAACAGCTTTGTGGTGGTAAAAAAGACGAGGTAGGATATGGCCATCGCCAGATCCAACCTGACTAGACGAAGATTCGAATCAAACACCATTCGAATTACCGCTAGATTTCCATCACGAGTGAACCATCAATCCACTAATCGACTAGCTGATGTAATAGTACTTTACATACTTAATCGACAACAATGCAGTCCATATTGGTCCATACTGTTCCCGGTTTACGGTACCGGTTGCTTCACATTACGCTGGCAACAGTATCGACCTTCCTGTGACTTCACATACAACAGAAACAATAACATCAACGACAGTTACAGGCAGTTTGTTATGCTGAAACGGCTGTGTCAATTTCGTGTTGTGTGGGTTTTTCTCGACGCCGCTCGTCGGCGGTCATCTCGCCGCTGCACTCGTCGGCATTGGAACCGCTTCATGCGCGTTTCCCCCGCGGGCTCCGTAATCGTCACTCTCGCCAACCTCGTTAGCTCATAGTATCCAACGTAGTGTCTTCGTGTGGCTATGTGGGTGTATATTCGCTCTATCTGAATCTTATTCAACTACCGCTAGATTTTAAGGTGCCACTTTTGGCGAAATTTCTTTCGACGTTAAGTGTAGGTCATTCCTTTATCTCATGTTTGCCCGCTAGTTCTTTCCTTTTTTTTGCCGCTTTTGTCATGACAATCAGTTATCAAAGGACTTAGCAGCATTTACAATTTCGATACGCGCTTTTTGTACCAAGAAGCACTTGACTGGTAGAGATAGGTATGTACGATATGTCTAGAGATTATCCATCTCCTAATATTCAAGGCAAGCATATATGGTGCAAGTACATGACTCCTGTTATAGCGTATAGCCAGTCTTGTGTATTGGGGCAGTAGCAGCGGAAACGCTGATGATAACAATAACAATAACAATATTGTGAAATTTGCAGGGGTAACTGGTTTTCCTACTATACTAAAAAGCAGGTGAGATAATCTATATTCGAAACTTGTCACAAATCCAAAGCGCGTTTTGTGCTGTAAGGGGTCGCTCGCCATCTGAAGCAGAGCGTAACTGACGAAAAATTGACGCTTAACGTAAGTCAAATTCGAAACATCTATTCAGTAATAACACGCTCATGAACTGTTGGGCAGAAGATGCGTAGGCAGAACGTATAGATTATGGTAAGCACGTGGTGCGGAATAAGCGGAGGGGTTAATTAGCGGCACCGGCTTCTCCGTCTCGTCGAAGCCGACACACGCAATTTGGTACTGACCATCTGGGAATAGTTTGATTAGTGCCGAGTAGACCTGCAATTCCAACAATTTGTATAACAGGATTTTTGTACAACAGCAAACGAAACGCATGCTTTAAGCGTAGCGTGGGTTTTCTCTAGAGTATTTTCGATTTCGAATCGCCGGAGGGTCACATCTGCGATATAATACGGTTTTATCTACAACATAACACATTTGTGTGTATAATGTACTACGAGGCTATAAAGTGGCTTTTGTCTTCGTCCTATAGAAAACTCCATATGTATAGAATCTATTATATATATATATATATCTATTATATATATATATACATATATATATATATATCCTATAGAAATCGTTTTATAGCTGACAGAAGAAAACCAATTTTCTTCTGTCAGCTAAGTCTGTCTGTGACTGGCATTGTTATGTGTTTGCTACTGTCAACAATCATTACGTTTTGTATTGTTTTGTCACATCCCGTCCAATTTTAATAATAACTAATAATATTATATGAGTGTATGGTCAGTTTTTTCGGTCAAACCTGGGCGGAGAATTAAAACCCGCGAAGCGATTTACTAGCTTCAATGACGTCTCACCATCGCCATCCTGATCTTAATAGCTATGTTAAGTGCAGCTTAATCGACGGTCATTCCTACTGCAGTAATTGGCTACCGGTGTCGTTATGTATTCGTAACATTTTAGAGTGGTCGGAACAATCATGTTGCATTGATGTATTTGACTGATGCCGCCTGTTCATTGTGTGTCTTTAGCGTTATTATTCAATTATATTTAGCGTAGGGTATACCCCTTGACTCTATCGAGCAGCGATAACCCTAATGCATCTGAGCGATTATGCTGCGACGGATTCACTATATTTGGAAGATTACTTTTCCGTTATTCGCTCTGTTGTTTTTTAAAATGATTCGAGGATAGTAGTGCACTTTATGTATGACCGGACCCCACCAGGGCATAAGTCTATGTTACATAGGTTGAGTGTGGGCTTAGCTCCGATCGTTGGTCTTGCTTTCGTCAGGAGCACTACCTATCACTAGACTTCCAGTTTTTCTTACAATAATGATTTTGAAATACTCCAGGTCCTCATTTCAATTCCAAGGCGGCTTGGCCGTAAGCGACTAAAGATCAGCTGACTGTTTGTGCTGCTGGCTAATTCGTCTGCTGCCAACCTGTCTGACTTAAGTAAAAAGACCAATTATATTCATGCGGAGGTGGTTACATTATAGAAACATCCACCATTGCTGATTAGAATCTCGACGCTGCATATGAAGTATGGAAAATGCTAATAGTAACATTTAGGTAGAAAGAAACTGCTGTTGACATTTTTTTTATTGCAGTCGTTTGTTAACTTACTTAACTTGAGCAGCACAAAAGAGGAAATCATTTGCGTTTATAGAACTTAACTAGTATACGTCGAATGATTAATATATATATATATATATATATATATATATATACATATATATATATATATATATATATAAAAGATATTGCTACACAGATTATGTCCGTTGCTAAGATTTGAACAGTATAAAATAGTAACTAATTGCGTTGCATTGTCGGCATTTGAAGGTACTTCATATTCAATATAAGTATGGGAAAAGACAATTGTGCAACTACTTTGCTAGTGCCGGTCTTATCATTGTCTGGCTAAATTAAAGTTGAAATTACAGAATAGTGAATATAACGACAATTATGCCCAAGCGATCCTATTGGCATAGATTGGCGTTACTTAGATCTCGTCTATAGCAAAACAACGTCGGCGGAACGCGCTGCTCCATTGTTAGGGTAGAGGACCAACAGCTTAACGGCATTATCGCTCTCTACCGAACGAACGTCTATGGAAACCGCTATGGATATTCTCGACAATTTCTGTTACCGCCACTATTTTACTTTAGCGTATATTATAAGTCTATTTGTTGGTGATCATGTTGCTCTGTTCTTAGATGCGTGATTTCGTAACTGTTGTAGAATGACTGAATTACCTACGAGTAAACGGCTGACTATTACCTGGCGCATTTGAGTCTTATAGTAATTACACAGGGCGACTTTACTGCTCAAAAGCCAGTAATATTTAGCTATGGTATACTAAATTTACTAATGTAGAAAAATTGGAAAGTCTTCCGGATACTGCTCTGCTCTAATGCGAGCTTTATAAAGCACTCCAAAAGCGGCCCTTGACTCAGACAAGGTACCAATTAGCGGAGCCTTGCGGGGTGCCGAAGGACAACTACGATTGTACTAGTTTAGTAGACTGCGCTAATTCGAGTTAGGAAATAACTGTCGAGAGGGGTTGCTTAAGGGGTTTGGCAGATCTGCTATCAATCCGAAGGAGTATTTCTGATCAAAATTCTGCACATCTCGCATCAAGCAGCTGGCTTTATTTGTGAATCGTGAAGGTCAACCCTAAAGTGACTGATGCTTTCTTTCTCGGATGTTCTCGCCAGTTCTTGGCCGATGTTGCTGAAAAAAAAAACTCATACCCGTTACAGGAGGACCAAGGTTGAGGAGCTAAATGATCACTGACGTTTTTACGTCGGCGCATAAAATCGGAGCTGGATTTAAGGTTGTGATGGGCGGACGTGTGCCAGCAGGCTGTGGCCGAGTTATGAATGGCTGGGTCTTTTCGCAAACCAAATGGAATGACCTACTGATAGGCCTTCGGGTATGAACGTAGTCAAAAGCTGATTGCACCGTGACAGGGAACTTGACAGATAAATGTGACACTATGGGCGTTGGTGACGACGAGCCGCTAGACGGAGGCAACCCTGCGTGTATGTTTATAGAATATGGTCACAAGTTAACGAACTGTCTCACGTTAACCTAACATAATGTCTCGTACCGTTATGTTGTTTTTTCATTAATGTCGTTTTTTTACTAGCAGTTCAATCGGTTAGTTATTTGAGTAATCATTCAATGAAACGTTCAGGTATCCGGGCCATTTGAAAGACAAGCCACCAACTAATGCCTCAGACAGAAACTATTTCTAGTAACAACATGGTTTTGCACAATAAATATTGGTTAAAAGGGCTATAGCATTTAGGACTTAATTATGGTTTTAACTTCCATTGCGGAGTTGACCCAAGGGCCGAGAACAATTTTTGTGTCGTACGCGCTCATCGTTGTTTGACCATGGAAGGTGGTCGGTGAGGGTCACGGGATACCATGAAGTTCAAAACCACTCATAGGCACTGTTTCAGACTGGTAGGAGTCAGCATGCCTAACTAAATCGGTAACAAAGGTAACACTCGAGACATTTAACAGGTATTGTCAAATAGAACTGTGTACTGTTATTATTCCTATCATAATAG